GTTAGTTACCGAATCCGTTTTTCGAAATTCAATTTTCGTCTCCAGTGGAAATTGAACTTGTACTCAACCGCTTGGGGTACGACAACTTCACCACTTCACTAAGTCGCCACACCCTAAGTTTTTTAGTTTTACTTATTAGGTTGAAGAATATAAAAGTTAAACCAGTTTTGATTTTTATCAATATTAAAATCTACAAGCTTCGTCTAACAAATATAATCTAAATATACTATCAATCTTGAAAACAAACTCGCTTACTAGAGATCTAACTACAAAAAAAAGCTATTTCTTTTGTTTTAGAGATTCTTATATAGTATAAGTAACAACTAAATTTAAAAAAATGCTCTATAGCTAACCTTCATAAATATTCTCTATTGTCGTGATTATTTTAATAGCATATAGAGCGAAAGGTATATTTAGTTCTTCTGGATAATTCGTTTAAAGTCAGATTATATTTACGGTATATATATGAATAAATTTTAGTAATTGACCAATTACAGATGATCTTGGCTAGGGGGTGTTTATTTTTGAAGGTTAATGATTATAATAGGGTGTGCTTATTTTTAGAGGTGCTTATTTTTAGCGATTTACGGTAAGTAATAAACAATAGATTTTAAATCTAAATATGTTTAGTAATACAAAGATATTTTTTTACTAAAGATGTAGAATACAACTTGGGTAATTATTTATTTTGGGTTTTACTTACTATAAACTGCAAACTTGTATACTCTCAAATATTTTATGATTTGTATCTGGAGCTATTTGAAAGCAAAAATTTTTCTTATACACTGGTAGTATACAAATTATACTCCAAAAAATAGTATTCTATTTCTTGAGAGATATTTTATGATAAAAAATTTTGAAAAATTAGCACAAAATAAAAAAATACCTAATTATACTCCAAAAAGCAGTATTTCTATTTTTGAGAGATATTCTATAAGTAAAAAATTTGAAGATTAGCACAAAATGAAAAAAAATATCTAAGCATTATAAATTACGAATTTTATTATATGGGTGGATTTGTCAATTCGGATGATTATTAAAAATAAATGATAATAATATGAAAAAGTGAAATCCACACAGAGATAATAACTTTCTTGATGCAGATCTATACTTAATTAGAGTTAGTTACTATTTTAGTTAAGATTTGCATTAATAATGTAACTATTTCTGCGCGGGTTTTACCCTGTCATATAATAATTTATAAAATTTGATTCAATTATTTATATGATGAAAAATTGCCATTATTAAGTATTAACAATACAATAAAATTGAATTGTATGAATTGCATAATTGGTTTATCGCTTCTGAGTTGTAAAAATTAAAATAGACTTTTATGTCTTTGTTAGATAATTATATGAATAAAATTTTCAATCAATTCGGTCTTTAAATGTTTGTATTAAACAAATTCAATAGCTTTATTATAGTTTTGCATTATAGTTTTGCATTATATTATAAAATCACAATTCTAATTCACCAAGACTTTATATGCTATCAGTATTTGTAATTTTTAATAAATGAACTATAGTAAAGATATTTACTATCTTATAATCACTGAGGATTTTATTAGTATCATTAACTTTCACGCTTATTGCATAAATTTCAAATTGAATCTTTAGTGAAACCATCTCTAGTTACATAAAAAAGTAATTTAAATCCATATAGATTATTTGTTGCTAAATATGTGTTGGCTTATACAACTATCTAATCTTAATTAAGTAGTTAGTTTAGGTTTAGATTTTGTTTTGTTTTTTTTTTGTTTTTTTTTTTAATTACTAACCAGTACTCAAGCAGATTTTCAATATAAACGATTGGGTAATTTTCTTCATCATCTACCAAAATTACTATTTGTTCCTCTGATTTTGTTTCAATACTATGAGGAATACTATATTTTTTAAATAAATTAATGATCATATCAGCTAGAATATCAGCTTACGCCTCAACTATCCATTGACAAATAAGATTATATGGAGGTTTTTTTAAATTTCCTCCTTTTGTAAAATCAAAACTACCAAGTGCTATCTAGTTTTACCATTTTTCTCACATTCAGTTCTTGAACGATTTGTTGATACACACATCAAGTGGCTGAACTAACAAAGTAAGTTTACCAGAGATTATACCTCTAACCGTATTTATTTCATTATATTTTGCTTTAACAGAGTCAGTAAGATGTTCTTCAAAAGAATCTATCACTAATAAGCTATATTTTTGTTCACAAGTTGAAATCTTTTTTTTTCAAATTTCATCTAACCATTCATTTATTAAAGTTTCATCCATCCACCTATTTTCTTGTATTTTAATAATAATATCCAAGAGAAACAGACCTCAGAGAAGTTTTTTGCTTTTGAAAATTACTATGAGGGAAGTTTAATTCTATTAGCCAAGATTGCAAGAATACATGTGAACCAGTTTTTTTCATTGCCTATAGTTAGGGTTGGGAATTTTTTGTAAGTTTAAAATTTCTTATGTGAGTTACATGTAAATTACAATAAGTGTCTTAGTATAAGTTAAACTATAATATATCCTGTATAGTTGGATATAAAGGAAATTTTGCAAAAGTAAAATTGGCCACTTACATGACCGATTATACTCACTGCAAAATTCTCCTCATACTTAACTATACAGGATATAACTATTATATACAAAGTTTGCTTAACTCTACCTGTAGTTCTTATTTGAACTATTTTTGCTAAACAGTAATCTATAGTAAGATTGCCAACCATATCAAAGTAAATGGGCATTTTATCCATGTTTGCTATACAGGATAACTCTAGTTATTTATACATTGTGACTTTTTGATAAATTCATAAAACTAATCTAATTGTTCAGATAATTCATGAGGAAGTTTCTGCCCAACTTTAGTATAGCGTTGAAGCACAAGATTATATCGGTTTATAAATCTCTGGCACCAAGAATTTGAAGTTTTGAAAGTTTCTAAAACATTAGAGTAGTCTTGTTAAAACCTAGTTCTAAGAAGCTTTTTCATTTTAAGCTTTATTGTAGACAATTTTACTGCAAGACCATCTTGTCATAATTGAACAATCTATTCATTTAACGCCTCCTCTGCAAGAAAATATACAGCTTTTCTTCCAGAACCGACACTTCTACATGAATACACAGCTTTTTCTAATTTTTTTCTTGTTTTTGCCACCTGGATACTTGAGAATAATCAACACTGAATATTTGTATTGCTGCTTTATTAGATGTTTCTTTTGCTTTTGAAATAATTTCAAGCTTTTGTTTAACCATATAACTTTTATGTTTTGTAGACATGTTTTGATCAATCTTCAATATTCGCAATTGGCTTTATATGACTTCTCATGATATCATTGTATAACCTTAAATATCGTGCACTAGTAATTTTAAAGCTTTTTTTTTTTTTATTTTTTTTTTTTTTTTATTATTTTTTTTTTTTGAATTTAGCTAACTTTAATTCCTGGTTAAATTATAAACTTTTAACCAACCTTAATTTTTGCTTAAATTTAAAATAGAATTT